GAGGAGAGTTCGGGTGGTCTCTTGGACAAATCACCCATTAGGAGAGTTCGGGTGATCTCTTGGACAAATCACCCACGCGATTGCCACAATAGGGTCTGTACACAAGGGCAAGGGCAAGGGAAGACAGGAGTCTCTTCCGGTGGACCGACCCGTGACGAGATCCTATGCACGGGCCCATAACATGCACCTCATGCCTCTGTTTGGGAAGCCTTCACTGTATAACTCTTATTTTGTTTCTAATAATTCAATTTCCATTTATCAAAAAAAAAAAGAGTTAGGTGGGATGGGGCATGGGTTGAGATTTTTGCTATTTTGGATGGCAGCAAATCATTGTGACATTAGCATTTTGTAAAAACAGTAATGTTTCATGCACACTTCCTGTATACCCTTGTACACTTCCTATTGTACATCTTACTTTGTCATTATATAATACATCATAACTGATTTTTAATTTTTAAAGGAAAACAAATATGTAAGTGTAGACTTTTGAGGTGACAATTGCCAATATACAGGTGGTGCTTGGCAGCATTTAGGCAATTAGACAACTTATTAGGGAGAATCAGAATTATGAACCTATGCTTCCATAGGTGTGCCAAGACTGTGCTTGCAAGCTATGATGGATGCATCCATACCCTTATAATATAGCACTGAAGTGCAATTATGAAAGTTTATATATTGAAATCCTTGGCCAGCCTTCAAAGAGATTCATCTCAGCCATGTGGATTGAAGATACTTTCTTCTTGTTTCAATTTCGTAGTTACATAGGGACTTTCCTACTGCACCAAAGAGGGCCAGGCAATCTGTTGGTAGAAATTGGATTTGATGAGCAATTGGGTTGAACATATTGGCTATAAAAATAATTCTTTGCAGAAAACGAAGGCTACCTTTAGGTTGATGTTTAATTCCAGTGATTGTAAGGTAGTTCTTTTGAGATGCAAGTCATTTAATTCCAGTGATTGTAAGGTAGTTCTTCCCATTTGGTCGCATTATGCTTTTATTCTTTCTTTTCATTGGAGCTGGCAACATTATGTCCTTGACAGAGCTTAGACATCGTTTCTTCTATTTCTTCCTTGCATCCCTTAATAATTCATTTCCTATTATTAATGAAAAAAGTTGAGATATACCTCTATTGACTGTCATGCGCTGAAATGTGTTATTGCATTTACACAAGCTTAAGAGTTTACTCCCCTCACCTCTTTTCCTCTCGTAGATGATCTTTTAGTTTATCTTTTTCCCTTATTCCTGTGTAGTCACTCCTAACAGGATAAGGTATCAATTTTGGGATGTCAATTCCTTCTTCTATCTACTTTATCTTTTGGCATTATATTCTCCCTTTTTTCTTACACTACTTCCTTCTTTTTCCTCCTAAATTGAAGAGCCTGATGAGAGAATGACTGATGGTTGTGGAAATGCTCATTACACTGTTATCTGATAGGTTTACTTATTGGTTTTTCTGTTGATTCTTGTTGACGTCCGAGACTCCAAGGGGGTGTTCTTTTTTTGGATTTGGAGAGGGGGGAAAGTTGGTCAATGGGATTTTGGTTCCCATTGATCAAGAATCCCATGTTCTTTTTTCAGTTTTATGTGGGGACTAGGGGAAATTTATTTTTCTGGGTATCACTTACCCAGGAAAGTGATACCTATCTCCTAGGTGGGTAAATAACTTTTCCACATAGGGGGGAAAGTTGCTAACACTTGAATGGGACAAAAAATGCCCCTTTTAATAATGGATTTCTATGGCTAAAATGGTCATTGCCTTATTTACCTGAGAAATAAAAGAACATAAGTAAATGCACTTACCTGGGTAAGTGTTTCTCAGGAAAAACTTGCCCAAGTAATTGCATTTACTCAGAAATTGCCAATGTATAAAACATGGTATGGCGTCACTAAGGTGTCAATCGTTGGAAGTTATATCATCTGATTATTTTCATTTCAGGTGGGACTTCAAATTCAGGAAGAACAATTAGGCATGTTACTTCCTTCGCTGAATCTGAGGTAACATTGAAAATTCATCTGGATATTACCAATTTTTTTTTCCTTTCATTTCTTCATTCTTTTGATCTTTTGTTATTTTTTTTTCATTAAATGCTTGTAGGATTTTGATCAAGATAAAGACATAAAACGAGGTAAGGAAGAAGGAACTAAGCTAAAGAAACATAAAAGAAAGAGAAAGAAAAACAAGAAGCAGAAGGTAATCTTTGTGGTTGTTCTCTGCTTTATTATTTACTTTATTTTATTTATGTATATAACTTTATCTAATTCAGTCTCTTGTAATGTAGATGGTAGAAAGCCATGAAATAACTAAACCAGGAAAGCGCAAAAAGAAGTCAAAAACATAATTTTGACTTTTGAGGCCAAAAAACTTTCCTAATTTATAACCTGGGACTTGTACTGGTCACCAAAAAGCGGAAATGGAACTTTATATTTTTTGGTGGTTGGGGGGGAGGAATGGAGTTCTGCAGGAATGCTTTTGCGGTGGGGGAGAAGTTCTGCAGGAAACCATACCAGCCATTCTTTTGGTTGAATACTGAAAGACATACCTGTTGTTCAGCTCATTATCCACTCGAAACCTGAGAGGAGTGTCTCACAACTGTCAATAGATCAATTGATGTGATTTTTTTTTCTTCACAATCAAATTCTAGTTGAACAACATGTTCTGGCAGTAATGAAATCATTTCCAGTGGATGAGAGTTTTATCGATCGCCGTTGAAAAGGCGAAACCTCATATGTAATTATTTTCTTATATATAATCCAAAAATAAGTGGATAAAGAACAATTTTCTGGAACCATTAATCAAGGTTCAAACGTATCGTGCCGGTGGCTTCTCGATACGCCCCTACAGGGGGTGTATCGGGGTTCTGACCGGTTCAGGGGTTGAGCCTTTACACCTCTTAATGTGATTTAATGTTGGATGACATGTTAGGGCCTATTACCCATTGCTTCTGCAAAATCATTAACAATTGTTCTTCTGAATCAACCATTACAAGATGGATGTTGCTTTGCTGCCCTGTTTTCCTGAGCAAATATTTCCAGACGTTTAACCCCTAAAAATAACCATCATGCAAAGGTTAAATATCAATATTTTGTAACTTGAATGGTGCTCAGGTGGAATAGCCTTGTTTCACTGCCATTCCACCAGGGGGATAGCTGGTAACAATGAGTACTGGTCATGAACAGGGAGAAAACCTTGCTGTTCTCACCGATACCAAAAAACTAGGGCTCCAAACGGTATCTGTTTGTTTAAATTCGAAATCAATCTAATCATGGGTGATCCAAATTCGATCCATTTATCATTGAATCAAATAAGGATCTACCCTTATCGGATCTGACCAATTTGATGAAAATGCATGATATTGTATTTTTATTAGTCATAGATTCAAGTTTCGTAAGTCATTTTTAGTGTTATATATATATATATATAACTCCCCACACATTGCCCCCCACAGCACATCCCTGTCGTGTATTGGGAACATCTCTTGATGATAGCATCATCATTTTTTATATTATCATCGGGAGATGTTCCCAATACACGACGGGGATGTACTGTGGGATGTTGTGAGGGGCAATCTTGTGGGGGGCTGATTTGATCTCTCTCTCTCTCTCTATACAATATCAAAGTCATTTTTAGTTCAATTTATTAATAATGTATAATATCCTGATCATTAGTCTAATTTATTAATGCTATTCAATGACTGGTTACAATATAAATTCAATTCAAATTCAAATATATTTTTGATAAATAATTCAAATTCAAATATTAATAAATCAAATTTGGATCTTGGTATATCCAATTTGATCTCGATTTGTTTGCAGTCCAACAAAAAACCCTTGATTTAAACATATAGACTCCTATTGGTCTAAAACTTGGTAGTAAAGTTTTTAATTGCGAAATGACTTTGGAATCTATCATTCTTTTGAGGGGGGGAAAATCTATTGAAACCATTTTTTTAAACTGAGGATCTGGACACTGATTTTTGCAAATAGGGAAAAGTTGTGTCTTTCTGCAATTTTTCGTTCAATCCTAAGTTCCAATAGATTTACAAGTTCAGTGTTTGAAATGCACAGATGTGCATGCTGATCTATTGTCTAAACTACTAGTGGGGACCGTGTGATGCACAAAATTTTTTAAGCAAAAGCTAAACAATAGAAACACATAAGAGTATACAATTGTTTTATATTTTTAACGTTTAAATAATCAATAATTATTTATATTTAGGGTTTGATTATGATATGGAAAAGATATGATATATGGAATTTTTTTACCAATCAACTGGTATCATAAACGGGGTAGTGAATCAAGTGTTATTTATCAAAATTCATCGGTGGATTTTGATTGGTCAAAACTCTTCCTATACCATATCTTTCATGAATCGTAGATTTTTCCTTATATTTTATATACTACTTTTAATGATTTTTTTACAATACAAAAATAACAAAAATTAATTTCAGCTAAGGTTGTTCATCAAACTGATGAAGCCGACCAACCCCCAAGTTGGTCAGATTTCTAATATTTCAGGTTAGTTTTGGTTCTACAATTTCCCAACTCGACCAGGTTGGATCGGTTTCACTTTGACCATTTGTAAATCGACCAAAATCAAAACAACCTAGCAATAGATATATTTTAACATTTTATATTTTTAATATAATTTTTAATAGGGAAAAGTGGGAAAATTCCCATATTTCTTTTGAACTGACGGACCAAACTGAAAATTGACCCAAATCGATACAACCCGAATTGGCAAGTTTTCACTAATGGTTAGTGGGTTTCAAGCGACCAACTCCCCAACCTGACCAAGTCGATTCGGTTGGCCAAATCGCCTAGAGCCAAACCGAACCAACCCATGGACATTCCTAATTTCAACTAAATTAATAGTCTAATCTCTAATAAATAACAATAGTTTAATCTTTCATTAATATTGAAAATTTATACAAAAAATGCATAATTATTGAAAATATATTGATAATGAAGATACAATAAATGACTAATAAAAATACAATAATTACAAAGATGCATACTAAAAAATATATTGAATTAGTTAATAAATAGTGTAATCTCAAATAATAGTTTAATCTTTAATAATATTAATCAATAACTTATAAAAAATACAATAAATTAAATTAAAAAAGTTAAATAACAACATTTTAATCTCCAATAATTATTAAAAATTTTCTATTAAATAAAAGAACAAAAATAGATTTATACATAATTATTAAAAATATATTTATCACAAAAAATCAATAATTAATGAAAATACAATAAATATTAATTTTAGTATATATAAATATATAATACATATAGAATAGGGTTTTAAAATTATTATTAATAAATATTAATTTTTTGAAAGTTATTTTCTAGAATTATTAATTGATATAAGTGAAATTAGTTACTTACAATATTATTAAGTTATTTAAAAATATCAATATGTAAATTTTAAGATATTAATCATTTATTGAATTTAATAATCTGTAAAATTATATTGTATACTATTATTACATAATTTCATTATTTTAAGTATTTAAAATCTAGTTATGTTGAATATTTAAATAATATATAAAATTTTCCGTTATTTGAATTTTATTTATTTTAAAGTTATTACATAATATTAAGTATTGTTTTATATAATCATTTGACTATTTTGAATATTTTATTATTTAAAATATTTAGTTATTAAAATATTTAAATAATCTTTTTATTTTTTAATGTTAAATTTTTATTATTTAAATAACATTTAAGTTGAATAAACCAGAAAACCATAATTTATATTGTTAGTACATAATTTCGTGATGAATTTTATAAAAATATAAAATTATTAGTAATATGAATATTATTAAATCTATTATATTTTTTATGTTTTTAATAAATATTTTAAAGTTGTTATATAGTTTCGTTAGAATATTTAAATAATTTTTTATTTTTTAATTCAAACTTTAGATAGGTATAGATAAAAAGTGGGGGAGAGGACAAATAGGAATTAGAGATAATTTAGGAGAAAGTGGGGGATAGTGGGGGAGGTAATTTAGGAGTTCTGTTTTTCTTTTTTGGGGAAAAGGGTAAGGTATATATTGTTAAAAGAAAAAACAAAAATAAATGTACAAGAAACAAACAAATGCAACACAACGAGCAGATCCCATAGGAAACCACTTACAACCGGAGCACAACACTCTAGGGCCAAACAACATCACAAGAGACCTAACAAAGGTTCAAAATATCGATACGCCCGATACACCAATAGGGGCATAGGCGTATTGGGCAAATCAATACATTTTTTTTTATTTTTTTATTTTTTTTCAAAACCGGTTCAAGGGGGTTTGGTTTAGAGCTCATCTACCCTTTGAACCGGTCAAACCCCCAATACACCCATTGTAGGGGCGTATCGGAGGGGTCGATACTTTGAACCTTGGACCTAACCACCTAAGGCCTAGAAACTAACAAACCCAAAAACAGGCCCGCACGTTAATGGGGTGAACTGTTTCTTCCTCTGCCTCTTCTACCCCTTCCCCTGGTGTTGCGGGTGCCTCGAAGCGTAGGGGTAGCAACCGGTGAATCGTAACAATCCCTCAACAGCTTGGATTTTCTGTTCCCAAGCGGTAGCACCGAAGGTGTAAGAGAGACGTCTGACAAGGAGCTTTCTGTTTCCGTATCTGAGTCCAGTTCTGAGCAACTGTTTTCCAGAGAGCAGCAACGAGATTTCACTTCATTGGCAAGTTGAGAACTAAAGCAGTCTCGTAATTGGGGCTCTTGCTCCGTTGTGTAAAAAAACCCAAAAAGCTTCCCAAAATCCATCAACTGCTCAACCTGAGTTGCAACGACAGTCCCATGAGCATAACAACCCTCTTTCTCTTGTGAGACAAACTTGACAGAACTGGGTGAGGGGTCTTGGCCGGCAGGGAAATCTCCAGCTTCACACGGAGATATCTTTAATACTCTCCCGACAAGGGCTTCTTCAATGGGTCTACCAAGCCCAGCCCAGCCCATTATCTTGCATGATGGGCGGGCTCATAGAATTCATTTGTACGCCTAATGTATTAAGATATAACTAGGTGCCGTGGTGAGCTTGGTTCTATTTCAGTTTGCTTGAAAAACCGATCGATTGGTTTTATTTCAGTCACGCTGGGCTCCGGCGATGAAAGATGTCGTGGTGAGCTTGGCTATGTTCTGGCCTCCGAGCACTGGGGCCGAGGTATCGCTACTCAAGCTGTCAAGATGGTTGTCTCCTCTGTGTTCCATGATTTCCCAGATTTAGAGAGACTCGAAGCTCTAATTGACTCAGAGAATTTGAGGTCACAGAGGGTCCTAGAGAAAGTCGGATTCACCAGGGAGGGTATTTTGAGAAAGTATCTGATTGTAAAGGGGAGCACTCGAGATGTAGTGGTGTATAGTCTTCTCTCTACTGATCTCAAAAGCTGTTCACTTGTTTGATTCACTGAAAGTTGTAAATTGAAATTTGGGGTTTTCACTTTTTCTATTTCTAAGTGTATATTTAGGGATGGCAATTTTTCCCATTTCTCCGATTCCCATGGGGATCCACCCCGAATGGGGTGGGGATGGGGATAATTTTCCCCTGTAGGGATGGGGATGGGGAAATTTTCATCCCCGTTAATGGGGATGGGGCGAGGATAGGGAGAGAACTCCCCGCTGCGTGGGATCCCCACTAATATATATACATATATATATACACATACATCTATATATATTAAAATTTCTAAAAATATGATTAAATATGTTTGAATCTTTTCTAATAGGATTGCAAATTTTAATTATTTTATTTTTATTCTTTTAAATAAAATGAAAAACAAAAACAAAATGATTAACATTATAAAAAATCACGGAGAATGAGAATCCCCGTGGGGATGGGGATGGGGATAACCTCGTCCCCATTAGCGGGAATGGGAACGGGGATGGAGATGAGGATTTTCACGGTGACAGGGATGGGGAGAGGCTGCCCGTCCCCACCCCGCCCCGTTACCATTCCTATGTATATCATAAATCAGAATTTTGTTTGTTTTTTAGGTGATGGTTATTTCATTTTATATGACAGTTGGGCTTCTATAGTTTGTATTATTTTCAGGCAAAAAATACAAGAGCCAGTGTTTTTAAAACCAACACATAAATAGAAACCACTTTTTCATCTAAGTAGCTGGTCTGTGGTTCATTTATTTGGGTTAAAATATCAACAATTAAATAATAATTATTTAAATAAAATATACAAAAAATGGATATATATAATATTATACATTTATCATATTAAATAAAAATAAATGTGATAAATAATAATTATTTTTATTAATTAAAAAAATAAAAATATATATGATTAAATTCTGACCGCTGACCCACTAACCATGTCAAATTGTTTAGCAGTTAAACAATTCGGGTTGTCGGGCCATTGACTAAATCAACGGATTTTGTAACCAAACATTTTTAATCTAGTGAAATGGACATGAAACTAATGGGCCGGCTCAACCACAAAATTGAAAACACTTAAAACAGCCTAAGTGTGATTTTAGATAATTAATTTTGGTACAAATTTATGTAGACCATTATAAAGTGGATACTTAATTGGTTTCATGCTAATAAAAAAAATGTTGAATTTGATTGTATAATATTCCTTTGGGGAGACATTCAATAAAATTTAATTATATAATGTCAATTTATATCTTTATCATTTACTTACACACACACGTGCACAACATGTGTCCTTACACCAATTGTTAAAAAATGAAAAAACATAATTGACAATGCAACATCAATGACTAATAAGACTTTAGAGTCGCATTAACATTGAAACATCTAGCCACCCTGTTGCTTAGACAATTCCATATCCTCAAACTTTTCATTTGTAATCAAGGTTCAAAATATCAATACACCCGATATGCATAGAGGCATATCAGAGTGTATTGGTAGTTGTTTTTTTTTTTTTTAAATCTGGTTTAGATGGGTCGGTTTAAGGTCTATCCACTCCCTGAATCAGTCAAGACCCCGGAACACCCCCTGTAGGGGCATATCGGGAAGCTCCGATATGATATATATCAATATTTTGAACCTTGTTTGTTACTACAACAAATACACACTATAATAGGGTTATATTGGTCATTTACAAACTATAGTTCAGTATTCATTTCTTGCAACAGAGATATTAGAAGCAAAAGTATAGGGTGGGAAGAAGAAAAGAAAACAAAAATGATTGCTCTCAGATTGAAACTCATTCTCCTATTTGTCAACTTGAGATTTTACCATTACACCAAACAATAGAAACACAGGGGATAGAGTAACTCAAGATTGCTACTTGAGAAAGGGAAAATATGAGCCCATTTTGAGCTGTCATAACAGTTACTATGGGCCTGTTTGGGAGGGCGGAAGCATTGATTGGGAAGTCACTATAAGAAGCTTTAGCGGAAAAAACATTTTTTCCTTTTCGCATAGTCATTTTGAGCTCTCTAAGGTTTCCACCAAACACGGCTTATGGGCTTAGCATTTAGAAATTAAAGCCCATAGCACAAGTTTAATCTATTAAAGTTTTACCAAAAAATATAAATATATTAAAGATCACTCTTGTCTAATAATTAAAAAAATACATTAATAGTTTTACACATTAAGAGTTTGTTTGGTTCACAGTTGGAATTGGAATCGAAAGCGAAATCCTTTCGAATCAGAATTAGAATGATATATTCCTAATAGTCTGTTTGGTTCAGACAGAAATGAGAATGAGATTTCATTCCCAAGAGAGGAGCATGAAATGGCCATTCCCTCAAATCGGAATAGCTCATTCCGATTCCGATTCCAAACCACCCTATTCTTGCAAGCCAAACGGGGCCTAAATATATGTTATAGCTATATGCATATAATAATAATTGTTAGATAGTCCCACCATGGTTTAAATAAGAAATGAGAGATAACCTGGACCGGTCAATGGATGGCTTGTTCCCCAAAAACCGGATTTTCCCCGAAAACCGTTGATTTTGGCCAGAGAACTATTGAACCGGGCAATTAACCATTCAAACCATTTTAATCATTTTTTATTTTTTTATTTTCTTGTCAGAACGGGTCGAGCATTCGGTCAAATGGTCGGACCGTTCGACTCGATAACCGGACCCCTGACCGGTTTGATCACCGGGTCGGTTTAAAAAACCATGCTCATACTTGATCTTAAGGCTTGGACTTTGGTAGAAAACAAGTGGGCAAAATCATAATTAGCTGAACTCAATAGTTGTGTTGTCGAGTTTACTTTAATTATTTTTTTTTTGAAGGCTTAGTTGAGTTTTGCTGACTGAGGTGCTTTTAACAAAATTCAATATTTGTTTTTGATAATTTAATCACGGGACACTTAACTATTTGATTGAGGTATCATGTGTACAATTTTGACTTTAAGAGTTTGTGTACAAGCTGGTTCTTAGCCCAATGGAATTGATTATCTGTAGGACCGTGATGGATTTCAAAGATCCAAACAGGGAACAGTGACGAGTGACGACAGGCTATTGGATATATAATCCCACATCGGATGGTGAAAAGAATCGAGGAGGTAGCGCGGACTATAAATAGTGATGGAAGACACTAAACAAATCATACCTTTCTCGGCCTTTTGGCTAAGATCAAGTGTAGTATCTGTTCTTATCAGTTTAATATCTGATACGTGGGCCATCGGTCCACATGATATTAAATTAATCTTTTTAGGGGGAGAACCCACTACGGTAGCTTGCTACTGGGGATCTCGCGCGTCGCCCATGCGTTGCACTACTGTACGGGCCTGGCGCACCCCACCAAATCAATGTAGAAGATTTGTTTCTATGTTCTGTTCTTTATATGGTTTTCTTTTCTATTTGGATATGTGAAGTTATTCCACTGACGGAACGTACGAATGGTAGTTTCGACTCTCTAGTCTAAAGAAACTGTCTAGTGAATCAATTGATTCGGTAACCCATTCAAATCTCAGTCGTTCCTGACTTCCTGGGGAGAATGGTAATGGAGTTATCCTGGGAGCGGGCTGTGTTAAGCTTCAAGCTTTCCGATACATGAATCGACGAAACAGACTGTTGAACTCAAGCCGAGCTTGTTCTGAGGTTGGGGAGGAATGGTTTTCCTGTCTGTTGTCTGTGTCAAATTCTGTATGTTAGTTCTTAATCTATTAATTTATTTTCACCCAAAAACAAAAGCTAGAAGAGAAACTCGGGTAAAAAGCATGACGCGGGGGATTAAATAACCAGCTGAGAGGCTCTAAATCTAATAGAACTTTGCCATCTGCAGACTGCAAAAGCGGCCTTTACATGCTTAAACAGTCTAATTGGAGTTAGTATAATGTCCCACATCGGCTAAGGAAGTTAATAGCGGAGGAAGCGAAGCATTATAAATAGAGTGGAAGATTGGGAATGAAACATACTTACCTGGACGGGGTGAATGGGTGATCAAGAAGGCCCATAGCCTAGGTTGGTGACCTCCATTGCACACAGGATGGGTGCCCGCCTAACATCTCCCCAAGTGGGAGAGTGTACGTCATAATTTGTGGCAGCGGGGGTACGCGTTCGCGCGGCCCCTACCCAGTTCGTTTATTCAAAATCTTCATTTTCTCTATCTATTATTGTTAGTTAATAGACATTCTCTCTTTTTTACATGCAAAATAGGAAACTGAATAAGACGAGTAGCCTGGTCTCTCAGAGGTTTCTCCATCCTGCTACACTTCTTGATGAGAATAGTCTTCGCATATTTATGTCCTGTAATTGTAAAGCCATGATAACCGTTCTGCTTTTGTCGCTCCAGAAGCCCTGCGGCATTGATGTCCTGCTGCATGTATGATGTTACTCAATTCATTGAAGATAGCTGCTGCATTTCCAGTGCCCGGATCATAGGATCCGTCTACAAGAACTGTGTTTGTGCACTTAGTTGAAAATTTACTTTGAAACAGCTATCAATGATCATGGCTTTACAATTAATCAGGCCTCAGGGCATGTTGTTTCGGTCCTGGAAAGATCTGGCGAGGTCTTTTCAACAGGCAAGAGAGAGTGCCGACTGCCTACCCAGAAAAAAAACGCAAGAGGAAAGAGGGTGGTCGATCAGGCCTCAGGGAGGTTTATTCACAAATGAGTTTAGTGTTGATTGATCAGGCTCAGGCCATGTTGTCTTGGCTTTAGTCCCACATTGGCTAGTGAAAAGAGTCGAAGAGGTAGCATGGACTATAAAAAGTGATCGAAGATCCAGATCAAGCCATACCTTTCTCGGCCTTTTGGCTAAGATCAAGTGTAGTATCTGTTCTTATCAGTTTAACATCTGATTGTTTCATGGTTTGGGGTGTTTAATTTATAATAGTTTTTTAGGGAGTCTTATTGAATTTCAGAAAATTGAAGGTTGAGAGATTAAGGCATCTGGCATATCTTCTAACTTTCTAAGAAGGTATCTGACATGACTTCCCAAATACCCCAAGAAAGGATTGTTGGATTGATCCCTACAATTGGAGCTTTTTTTGGGAGGTAGGCAAAAGAAAAGAATTTAGACGACAAAATTTTTTCACTTAGCATGATTGTAATATACACAGTAGACACTACTGTACGGTGGTTGAGTCTATGTTGGTACAAGTGCCAATATCTGGTTTCTTACAATTGACATGCACTTCCGAATTTCTCCATAAATGGGAAGATTCTGAGAACAACATGGCTGCAAGCTTTTAACAGCATAATCTATTATCTGGGCCACTTCAGCTGGTGGATACTGCCGCTCTGTGCATGCCTGCATATTTTGAGGAAATAATACTAAGCATCAGAAGGAATAAAAAAATCCAAGTGTCCAGAATATTAGCCAGAAAAAAATTTCCAGAATATAGATTATTTTCACCAATTAAAAGTGAGAATTATCAAAATAAGACAGTCAATGTACCAGGGTTGATAAAAAAACACAAAGCATAAAGGAAATTTCAAACAGGATTCATGTAGCCAACCCCATATAGTTGGGTTAAGGCTTAGAGGAGGATGATGATGGATGATTCTTAAAGTAGGTTATTAGGTCTAAATGGTTGATGGTCTTAACGTGGAGAAACTAGGGTTTGAAAACAATATTTTGAAATAGAGAAATTCAGGGTATAGTGTGATTCTCAAATGATAATTGGGTGGATGCAGTCAGGTTGTTTGGGAGCGTGACCACATAGACAATTAGTTTAACAAGGGTGCTTGTTTTAAATGGGCAAGAAGATCAGCTAATGGTTTAGCGGAACAAGGGACTGCAAGGGAGAGTTTGTACTTGGCAGTAGGGGTGTCCACGGTTCGGTTTACCAAACCATGGACATATTTTGCAAACCGAACCGGTGGTACCGGTTTTTCCATTTCTCCAAACCGAAACCGAACCGGTACCACCGTTCGGTTTTTTATATTTATAATATATATTATATAAATATATGTATAATATTATATTATAAATAATAAATGATATATAATATATTATAAATATTTTAAAAATATATAATATATTTCTTAATAGATTATTATAAATATAATATAAGTATATATTTATATATATATATATATAATGAATATATATTTATATATAATATATAGAAAATGTGACATTAAAAAAATATATAAAATATACATATAAATATATATACCGGTCGGTTCAGTTAACCGCCAGTTTTTTGTAGGTAAACCGAAACCAAACCGATCGGTTCGGTTAACCGCATTTTGCGGTTTGGTTCGGTTTTTCGGTTTTTCATGGACACCCCTACTGGGCAGTGCTGTAATGTATTTTGTTTGTTGTTCAACTCCTACTAGGGATTGACTTCTGTACTTTAAATGCTCCTTAATGAAATTATCGTTTCCAATAAAAAAAATTAGGGTATAGGATTTACACAATGACAGATCTAACATTGATTTTGGCAATATGAAAATCAGTGTAGAAAAATCCAAGAATTAAATTGGTTGTGAACTACCAATAATTCTGAAAGTATAAATTAGTAGATGGGTAAAAAAACTGAAATACTTAGACCTAGAAAGTATGAATCCCAAATATGAAGACATACAAAATAGAATTAGTTACAAATAGTTTATCTCCAGTCTAGCAAAGAATCATAAACAAGGTTTTGATGTTAGTACCAATAAAAGATCTTGAAAGCCAAGTCAGAAACACACAAAGGAAGGAACCAGCTTCAAAATAAATTTGTTAACTTCAGTACATTTGCCCCTAGCACAAAGTTTAGCCCTACATTAGACAAATGAGATGCTTGGCCAACCATATTCCCAGCCATAACTATTTCCTTTAAATATAGAAACCAACTAGGACTGGACTTCAATCTAACTTTACATAACCAAACTTAATGTAAAACTAACTATATCAGAGGAAACATTTGAACAAATCTGAAACTAGGACATTATAAAAAGTTCAATAACTCAAATGACTAGAAGTAAACGCTGGACTGATAAAGAACATTTTTTTTTCTTTTTCTGCATGACAGACTTGAGAAATAACAACTATGATTACTGTGTAGAGAAGATGGAGGATAGTTGTGTAATTTTATCTTTCTTTCTTGTATTTTAATAGGCGTGTACATTAGTGTACATCTTTAATTCTTTTGTAAGGACAAACTTGTCCATTCATATTTCTTTAATATAAATACTATCCTTTTGGGTTGGTTCGATCAGATTGATCAACCCTAACAGATCTGGACTATTGGCTTTCCTCTTGTCTCTTCACTTTCTCACGAACTATCACGGTATCAGAGCAGGCTGTTCTCTGATCCATTATTTTTTTTTCAATCTGTTTGAGAACTATCCTCATCGTCGATTGGTTCTGGACTGTTCCGATCAAGGTTCAAAGTATCGATATGATATGCCCCGTATCGGGCGTATCGTATCGTATCTTTTGGTCTCGATACACCTATTTACAGGTGTTTCGGGACCCCCATTAATTTCAATAAAAAAAGACTTAAAACATTTCCAAAAATCAAGTTTTGAAAAAAAAACATTAAGCGGTTGTTTGTCTGTACCGATACGCCCCTGCCGATACACAGGGGCATATCGATACTTTGAACATTGGTTCTGATCATTCCAGGAACCATTTTTCTGTGTTCTGCGCATCCAGCAAGAGAGATTTTATTGGATCTCTCTTTGAAGACATCCGTTTGCAGTGAAAATTGAAAGGAAGTGTCTTGGTCTTCTTCTTCATCCTCTGAAAGTTTCATCAATATCAGAGAAGTATTGAGAGAGATCTATACATCTCTTCTGGGTGGCAGCAACAAGTCTTTCCTCTTTTGGACTGTGTTCTCAGATTTCAACTATTGCTGAATCTTGGACACTCTTTTTCGACTATAAGAGGTTTCTTCTCTTAGTTTTTTACTCTCTTGGATTGGTTTTCTACTTATATTGCTTGCTTCGATTGGGTCTGGGAAAGAACGAAATTATTTCTGTTAAGTTCGATGGAAGCAACTATGCTCTCTGGAAGTTTCACTTTTAGTATTTTGTTGAAGGGAAAGGCATGTGGGGTTATATTGATGGTTCCACATCCATACCCGATGCTGATGATATCAAAGGGCTGAAACAGTGGAAATTTGAGAATGAACAGGTTGTTTCATGGATTCTTGGTTCTGTTACTATGGATGTTAGTATCCCAATGAGGGGACTCAAATCTTCCCATGACATGTTCGAATACCTTGAAAAGGTGTATCAGCAATCGAATATGTCTAGGCAATATCATATTGAAGTTGATATTTTCTCTTATGTTCAAGGGGAGAAGCGGATTTAGGAATACTATGCTGGGTTTGTGAACCTTTGGACTGAATATGAATTGGCTCATTTTGTGGATCTCTCTACGGACTATTGTGTGAAAACTATGAAGAACCATCTCAGTAAGAGAAAGACTGCATTTTTTTATGCATCTCAGATCTGATTATGAAACTCTACACTCTGCTATATTGGCTCACTTTGGGGATCTCTCTACGGACTGTTGTGTGAAAACTATGAAGAACCATCTTAGTAAGAGAAAGACTGCATTTTTTTATGCATCTCAGATCTGATTATGAAACTCTACACTCTAGTATATTCAGCAAAGTGCTTCAGATTACTCTCTTTTCACTCTCAAGTGAGCACAAGGGTTGACTCTTCTCTTGGTATATGTTGATGATATACTTATCACTGGAGATGATGTGGATGGCATTAACAATTTGAAGCTCCTTCTCAGCAACTCCTTCAAAATGAATGATTTTGGGCCTGTCACATATTTTCTTGGGCTTGAAATTCAGCGATGTTCTCAAGGTTATTTTGTTAACAAACAGAAATATATCTCTGATTTGGTGGCACTTGTTCGCTTGACTGATTCTAAACAAGTGGATACACCTCTGGAGCTTAACCATAAGCTAAGAAAGGATGAAGGTGAGCTTCTCCCTGATGCTACTTTATATCGGAAGCTTGTAGGTAGTCTTATCTACCTAACTATGACTAGACTAGACATTTCCTATGTGATCCAGCTTGTGAGTCAGTTTGTATATGCTCCACGCCAGCCCCACTTCTCTATGGTTCTCCGAATCATCTGTTATGTTAAGGGCACTCTATCTCATGGCTTGTTTTTCTCATCTTCATCCTCCACCCAGCTTCGAGCTTATGCAAATGCAGATTGGGCAGGTTGTCCTAACACTCGTCGTTCCACTACTGGCTAGTGTATATTTCTTGGTGATTCTTCGGTTTCTTGGAAATGCAAGAAACAACAAACCGTTTCCAAGTCATCTACAAAAGCAAAGTATAGAGCAATGTCCTCAGTATGCAGTGAAATAGTTTGGCTCAAAACTCTACTTCATGACTTGGACATTGATCACTCATCTGTCATCCCCTTGTTTGCTGACAACATGAATGCGATCAAAATTGCATCCAACCCGGTATTTCATGAGCCCACTAAAAATATTGAAGTGGATTGCCACTTCATTCGTGATCTTCTTCTTGCGGATCACATCTCTCTCCCACATGTCTCCTTGGGCCTACAACTTGCAGACCTCTTCACCAAAGCTATGACCAAAGCCCGACATAATTTTCTTATAGACAAACTGATGCTTATCCCCCAACATTAGTTTGAGGGGAAGTGTAGAGAAGATGGAGGGTAGTTATGTAATTTTATCTTTCTTTCTTGTATTTTAGTAGGTGTGTACATTAGTGTACATCTTCTTTAATTCTTTTGTAAAGACAAACTTGTCCATTCATATTTCTTTAATATAAAAACTATCTTTTTGGGTTGGTTCGATCAGATTGATCAACCCTAACAGATTTGGACTATTGGCTTTCCTCTTGTCTCTTCACTTTCTCATGAACTAACATACTGCACCATATAGAGAGGCATCTGCTCGCTCCTATGACCTATATATCATTGATTTAGCTGTTTGGCCTGTGGGCCCCCATAAGTAAAGGATCCAGGAGCAGGCATATTGAAGATAATTAACTTATCAAAGAAAACGTGTACTCAAAATCAAAATAAGACACCACATCAGAGGTTCTGCTATCACAAAGAATGGGAAATTTCTATAATCAGGTTTTCGGATAAACAACAAGCATATTTCAACAATCCCAAGGGGAAAACAATAACAATAGTATATAAGCCACTGAAAAAATAACGGAACAATCAGAGCAACTTGGAAACCTGTCATATCATGTCATCTTACTAGACATTTGTTCAGTTTTCTATTTAGAAATTAGAGCAAAGAACTATGACAACATTCAATTTACCTGAATCATGAGCAATGTAGAAACACAAGATGAGATCAACTCCAAAGGTATTTGTGCTTCACTTGGGTCAGTAGTGTTTGACTTCTGACCAGATACAGGAACTCTTGTTGTTGGCTCTAATGTGCTGGAATTTGACTGATCCTCACAAGCCAAACTCCCATTTACAGGATCTCTAACAGTTGATGCAACAGAATCAGTTCCAAAATACCGATTACTTGCAGCATCTAAAGCCTCTCCAATCCTTGCAAAAGCATCTTCCCCTTCCTTCAATGAGGACATAACCTGAATTTTTTTAAAAATGTAATTAGATTACCTATGAAGTATTTGAGAAAAGTACTGCAGGTGGCCACCATAACAAATGATTTTACTGAAATAACCCATTAACCTAACACCATCTAGCAAATATATTAACATCTTGGACAAGTCACAGCTCAAAAACTGTCCAGTCAGATGATCTTAACAGGGCATCTGCTCTTTTCTTTATGAGTGGACAACAGAAATACATGGCACAATTCATGAAAATGTCCAATGATCAGATGGTTGTGACCACCTGGTAATGAAAATTTCAAACAAAAAGGTAGCCCATCAATTGCACAAGGCGAATCAATGTGCAAAGGGTAAAATGAAGCATAGAAGTGCATGAATCCATATGTTAAGATGTGTCGAATAGGGGTAGTTTAGTCTTCTTCTGTTTATTAAGTAACTTGCTTATGTGGCTGTGTTATTAGAGTTACTCTGCCCCACACTTAAGTAAGGGCATTTCTGTCTTTGTAAACATGATTAGAAGCTAATATAGATTAAGG